CAGATTCAACTGTAAGCCACCATCCAACTAGGATAAAAGCTTGATACTAAAAGTTAATATTCAAGTAATCAAATCGGGGTGCATATTTGCCAATAGAGGCTGATAAGCTGTAGTTCTGAACATTAATGATAGGAAAATACAAATCCTATGAAATAAATTAAACTAGATTGGGATTGATTGATCATTGAGCAGTGACCGTTGTTATGTATGCTAAGTCTTTCATAGCAGTAATCGAACTCAGGAGATCAATCACAGCTTTAATAGCTAGGTGGTAACGTCTCTGACTGGGAAGCTTCATGATATGGGATAGAATCCGTTACAGGGTGTCAGTTCCCTCAAATTTATAGGTACAGCTTGCTAACGAGTGTCTAATAGTAACAAACTTAAGTCTATAGTATGCTGTTGCGTACCTTCAACCGTTACCATAATACTAGATTCGTCATTATATTGATTCTCTCTAGGATTGGTTTTCTGTCTGAAAACAATGTTATTTACTTTACTTACTTATGAGTGCCACCTGTTGTAGAGCATAGGCCGCCAACCAGGGATCTCCAACAGGGCTCTCTTTTTCAGTTGCTTCCAACTGATGTTCATTATTTCGTTATCCGCCTCCAACCCCCCAACACAATAAGTATTTTGTTTGATCGTTTCTCTTTTCTTTTCAGGATTCAAAGTTAGCTTTTTTTGTGATGCGTTATGATGATTATCGTAATGTGTGCTCTATCTGCCTGCAGCGTCTTTTCCAAATTTTCTTTTTATCTGAAAATTGGCTTTCTCTTAACCACAGTAAGTTTTCACTGATGGTATTTGGCCAGTAAATCGAGAGTATCTCGAGATGACAATTGTTTACAAGTACCTGTACTTCTTTGATGATGGTTGTTGTAGTTCTCCAAATTTTAGCTCCATACAGTAGAATTGTCTTGACAGTTGTATTGAAAATTCCGACTTTGATGTTGGCTGATAGTTGTTCTAAATTTCAGATGTTCTATAAATGTGGTGATGGTCTTTGTGATCTGTCAATCGCTGCCTTAACATCTGTATCGCATTCTCTTTGTTTATAGATGATGCCATCTAGGTATATGAATAATTCCAGCCCTTCCAAAGCTTCTCCATCACGTGTGATTTGGTTGATGCTGTGTTGCAGTAAAGAATCTTAATTTTTTTTCTTATGTAAATTGAGGCTTGATGGTTCAGAGGCTGTTGCTAAAATTACTGTCTTCACCTGGATTTTTTACAGCGTATGAGATAGAAGAGCTAGTTCATTTTCGAAGTTCAAAACATAATATATCTGGATGATAGTGTGAACTTAGTTTGTATTGAATTCATTAAAAGCGCAAAACTAATGTACTCAGTAATCCAAACTAACGGATTAATTGGTCAAATAATTTTCTCTTTTGTCCTTTTTTAAATATTAAACTAGTGGAAAATCTCATCAACAATTGTTACAAACAATTGCAATAAACTACTTATCTAGTATTCAGCAGTATATTCTACATTAACTGAATAGCTAATAAATATTTATATATATTTCTCTGTGTTATTCTTTATAGATTACTTAAAATTAGTCTATTATAAACTTTTTTACCTTTCTAAATTATAAAACATGTTATAGTTGTGTTTGAAGATGGTAATCTTAATTGGTTGCAGTTCAAGGGACCTATAAAATTGATTTTTTCCCCATTGTCTTTGATATTTAATCACACTTTAATAAATAGCAATTTCATAACATTATTAATTAGCTATATTTGTTAATTTTAACAGTCCACTGTTGTGACTGATAAGTCTTGGGTTCGATTCTCGTGAGGTGTGATCGTGGATGCGCACTGCTGAAGACTTTCATACTGGGACGAAACGGCTGTCCAGTGCTTCCAGGTTTTCCATGCTGGTCTAGCTTTAATTGAATCATGATCTCAACTAGCAAAATTACCATGTTATACTATATTATATTTAGTGTCTAGTAAATTCTCTGCTGTTATCTTTGTACTCTTCTCTGAATCATGGTGGTTCTTTTGGCGAGTACTTTTCTTTCATGGTTATATCAGTCAGGAGTATAAGTGGCTCATATTTTCGACTTTAGTCATTTACTGTCCCTATACAATGCTATTGATGAGCTATTATTTCATTTTTGATTTGGTTCACTGCTTAATTTTATAGGCTTTCAGTAGAACATCACAAACGCATTGTAATATTATTGGCTGATCGGCAGAAAGGATCTGGTTGCGAAGGGTTGATTTTTTTTCTTGTTAGAGATGTGTGAGTGGTTTTCGCTATCCTCTCTCCAACACCATTGAAAAATAATTTTCCTTGAGGTACATGAAAAGGGAACTATTGTGACAGTGGTTTTAACTATTTTGGAGCCTAACAGACAACAGCGTGAAACCCGTCACATACAGGGTTTTGTTATGGAGTGATACGTTAGCTTTGTATTTCAGAGGCCTAATCTCTGGAGACGGAAATGTTTAGAGCAAAATGAGGTGTTCTATTTTTAGGACTGGTCTCTTCTAGCCCTTTCTTCTTGTTATAAAGAAACGATATCGTTGTCGATGCTGGTTGTCTGAGGCAAAATAATATTGACAATCACATCCCTAAGAAGTACTATCCTTCTCATACATATCTCAATTTGTTAGTGTGATTTTGTGATAACACAGTAGGGAAAGATAATAAGACATCATATTTTATGATTAGTAGTTTCTAAATCACAAACTGATCATTGCCAGAACACCATTGAAAACAAATAATCACTGGACAGCTCCACCGTGCCGACACACGACCTCCTCAAAGGGTACTGAACCTAAGAACTTCAGTACTTAATGTGAACGTTTGACCGCTAGACCACAAACTGTGCATGTCTAAATTCAGTCTATTCACGATACTGAACGATTATCTTCTCTTCCCTCACATTCTACATAGTTGAAATCCATTTAAAATTGGTCACTATTATTATCATAAGAACTATCAGTATAAAGTTTTATGGAGATTACAGAGTTGTCACAATTTCTAAATTATTATCGGCTTACTGTATTTTACTACAAAAAAATATGTCAGTTCACCAAGTAACTGAATCACGAAAATTCCTATTTAACCACAACCAAATAATTCATAATGATTGACTAACATGAACTTTTGTAAGCAATGATGGATAGTGGTTAGCAGTGGAATCCAGGACGCAAGTCCCTTCCTACTTGAGACTCGTCAACTAGATGTACATGCATCTCAAAGTTTATCTTCACTCCGAGACTCGAACCCAGTACCGTTCGGTTCAAACACCATCGCGTTATCCACTCAGCTACTGAGTCCTGATAGCCACTTGCTTGTGCAATGGGGTGAAGTTTAAATTCACTTGGTATTGTTTCAATATAAATGAGTCCCTGAGTGAACATCAACTCTGTGATGAAGGCGAATCCAGCTGAAGATTCCTAAGGAGGACGAAATGCGCGTCCTGGATTCCACTGCTAGCCAATATCCATCATTGCTTACAAAAAGCTTGTGAATTAATGCAATATCGAGGCATACGCACAGTATGGACATATGCCAACAAGAGACTGATCAATTGCAGTCTTAAACGTCAATGGGGAGATACAAGTGAAACAACACCAAGTGAATTTGACATTCAATTTTTTTGTAGTTTTCAGTTCTATCCATATCCTATTCCAGCTCTCTATGTGTGTGTATGTATATATATATGAGTTTATTTCACTGATGTTCTGTCCCTCTTTCCTTTTATTTTTTTCTATCCCTGTCCCTTTAACTTTCTGTCTTTCCCTTATTTATACTAATTTGTTGTTTTTCACAGCATTCAAATGTATACACATGTATGTGTATATACATTTGATGTGAAACAGAATGAAAAACTTTTTTTCATAAAAATAACCTCAACCAAAATAACTGGATAAAAGGAAATACTGTTACATTTCATAATGTGACTTAGAGACTAAAAAAATGAAATAGCGGAATTTTCTTGTTTTAATTTCCATTCCCTATTTCTTCCTAATAAACTATTATATCAATCGGTCATATTTCTTATTTGTTATTATTGTCTATTTATGTATATAGGAATTAAATTAACCAATCATTAATCAGATATTATTGACAAAAATTATGATTGGTCAATTTCGATTATTAATATTAATAATAATAATAATAATAATAATATAAGTGAATTATATCCAGTAAATCCTTCTTCCTTTTAAGATTCAATATTTAAGAAGTATTTATTGTTTGAAAATTTTAAGTGGTAAATTTAAATTTCTTTGGTCTTATTATGAAAAGAAAGTATAACTTTAATCATCGAAATACTTAAAAGTTATATATTTATATTGTATAAACTGAAATCTATCATCATTAGTTACAATCAATTCAAACAAAAGTAATACTAATCTATACATGTATTTGTATCAATGAACATTTATAATAAACAAATAATACATTCATATTGAAAACGTAACGGCGAGTATATATATATCTATATTATATATTATTCAATGAACTCTTTCTATCCGTCTATTTATTTAAATAACTAGATAACTGACTAACATATAACTCTACATTGATTTGTTTTTATTCACTTGTATCATTGTTCAATGTTTATTTTGTTTAAATATTTTAATACTTAATCGAATGTTATTTCATTCTCTGAACTTATTCATTGATTCATTCATTCAATCATTCATTCATTGAAATAACTAACTAATCAAATGAAACTAAATGAAAACCTTCATGAATCTATCAATCATTCAATTTCTAGTTAAATTAATTGAAAATCTAAAATTTAAAAAAAAAACACATTTATATACGTATATATATATGAATACGAAAAAAGATTATTATATGTAAGTGAAAAGGAAAGAATTTGATTTGTTACCCGGAGAAAATAAAAAAAAATTGACCTGAAAAAAGAAAAAAATTAATTTAAATATTAAAATTGATAACCGTTTTTTTTTTGCTCTTGAATTAAAAAAAAAAAAGAAAAAAAAATTCATTATAAGTTAGTGATAATAAATAATCTATTCATGTATATAAAATGGATTATATGTGTATGCTAATAACAAAACTATTTTAAAGAATCTGTGAAGAGAAAAGAATAAGAAAAACAAAAGAACATGTGTTTGTCTAATATGTTATGGTATAATTCATAAATTGAACATTGATCATTATAATTATGTCAACTTTGAAATATTTATGGCCATCTACAGCATTTGTTTTAGGTAATTCAATGGGATTTAATACATCGAATGGTAATACATTTAATTCATTGAATTCTACATCATTCTCATCATCATCATCATCATCATCGTCATCGTCATCATTTTCATCTGATGTATCACAACATTTTATTAGTTCAATGAATTCTATTACTTCTAATGAATTAATACATTCTATAGCTAATTCATCAATGACACCAGAACTAGTTCAAAATTTAAATGATCTACATACTTTAAGTCATGATCATCTTAATCAAAATGATAGATTTCATCAAATGAATTCTTATTTACATAATAATAATAATGACAATAATAGTAATAGTAATGATAACAATACTTTTACACACATAAATGAACTTACAGATCAACAACGACATCTTAAAATGGAAGAATGTGGTTCTTCCATACTGAGTAAAAACACTACTGTTGATACTAGTAATACTGGTAATGCAACATCAAGACCTTCTTGGTTATGTATAGACAATAATTATAATAATAATAGTACATCTTTTATGCCTATAACTTGTAATCATAGTTATGATGATTCAAAGTGTCAATGTGTCAATGTAGTTGCTGCAGCGGCAGCTGCTAGTTATGCACGTTCTTGTTTATATCATGGTGTTGCTATGGCTGCAGCGTCATACAATAATTTTGACCCTTGTACAAGAACAATGACTACAACTAGTTTAACGAATTCATTTAGTACATTGAATAGTTCTACTAATATATCAAATATGAATTCATTATATCCAAGATCATTTTGTAATTCAACATCATTGGCATCAGCATCTACAGCATTACCATCTTCATTATTGCCAGCCTATCATTCAATTCATAATTCACGTGATTATCATCAACATAATCACCATTCACTTTCATTCCCTGTAATGCAACAAACGAATTCAATGTTTTTGCCACCTCCACCACCACCACCACCTACTTGTCAACAATCATCCATGTTTGATTTTAATGCATTAAATTCATATCCCTACTCAAATTATCATCAACGTATTGGAAATTCGAATTCAAATATGGTGTTGGCTGCAGCAGCTGCGCATAAACATGTACAATACTTTCAAGGTATTTACTCACGTGCTAAATCGAATAAAGCCAAAGGTAAGTTTTTCATTTGTATTCGTTAACTATTCAATATAAAAAATTATACATCTATTTAAATGTGTTGGCTGACTATCATCAGGTAACATTTAAGAAATGATGGGTTTTTTGGAGGTTGCAGAATTTTCATAGTTTAAATCATAAGGTGATCTTAGCTAATTTATCACTGAAAACCAAAAATCATTAGACAGTCATTTCGTTCTGGTACAGGACACATTTTAGTTTCAATATCCACAGAGGTTGTGAATGTTCATTACTAAGGAGTCCCATATTATGACAAAACAGCCGTTGAATAATTTTTGTGTTTTAAACGGTGATCAGTTCGTAATTTGAATTATGGTAAAAATAAGTCGATAAAATATTTTGTTTTTTTAAATACATAAGCAAATCCTTAAATTTAATTGGATATTCATTTAATTCAATCTGATATTGTCTTTCATCACAGATTGAAACATTCACTAATTATTTCATTTTAATTTATTTGATTTAACTGCAAGAATAAAATAAAACGGTTTATAAATCCACTTGTTGTTTGCGTGTCTCTCTCCGTTGTTAGTTAGGACTGCAATTGATCAGTCTCATATTGGCCTACATGCATCCTGTGAGGATTGCCTCGGTGTACCCTTTAATCACAAGCATTTTTAAGCAAAGATGAATAGTGGTTAGCAGTGGAATCCAGGACGCACGCTTGGACTCAGTAGCCAAGAGGATAACGCGAACGGTACTGGGTTTGAGTTTTGGGGTGAACATCAACTCTGAGGTGAAGGTATACCCAGTTGACGAGTCCCGAATAGGACGAAACGTGCGTCAAACTAGATTTTACTGCTTACCACTATCCATCTTTGCTTAAAAACAGTTTATGTTTAGTTATATTGTCTAAAAACTAACTATTGTGACAATCAAATGAATATCTGTTATCATTTTAATCAACCATAGTCCATATTATGATTATTTAACATGAGACATTAAACATTCATCATGTAGATCCATTTAAAGTTACTAATCACGCCTAATTTGAAGTTCATAGAAAATTTTGTGAATATTTTTCTTCTTGATGTCAGTTATGTAATTTACATATATGTGTTAAAAGAAATACTTAAGTTAATTAAAAATCACTTTATCCAACATTGTACGTTATCTACAATATGAAGTTGGTATCGTAAAACATTTCAGTAAAAGAACATTGATTCATAACACGTATGGTTGGTGATCTCTTATGATTTTTATTACATAATGCATGTACCAGATATGGTAAGTTTATTTTACTTTCCTCTATCCGTATCAATTTCAATGTACCAATGTCCAGTTCTATCAACATATGTGACTAGATTGGATGATATATGTTCGATAAAACAATCATTCGTTAATTATCTGCAATATTTTAAATGTCTATACAAAATAATATTCATAATAACATCAAATGGTTTACCGTTTATAGTATTAATAGACCCTAATATAATATTTACGATAAAATAATCTTTCATTAAAAGTCTAAGAAAATAAAATAGTGAATAACATTATATGATAAGAGATAATATATGAGATCATGGATGCACGTTACTGAGGAATCCCATACTAGTACGAAAAGGCTTTCAGGGCTTCCAGGTTTTTAATAGTGGTCTAGCTTAGATTGACTCATGAGTTAAATTGTGAAAATACTACCATCTCCACAAATCCCCATACTGATAATGATATATAAGAATTTAGAAATTTTAAGTCTAAGTCTTAGTTACTGCCAAAAACATGTTGCCTCTTTATATAATTAGTTGGATGAAAAAATTTATTCCCTATTCATAATTCCTTGTGACATATGTCAGGTGGATAGTCAGTCAGTCAGTCACCTACAACGTAGGACCAGGCACATATGTGCACCGGTTCAAGTTACCATACTTCATTAGTACAAAATGAACACCGAATTCATAGTAGTAGTTAGTTCAGTGGTGGTAATATATAAAATAAAGATTGTTTATATGGATATAGTACCGAAAGAAAGAATTAGTTCATAGAAAGAAAGATATGAAGCTATTTTAATTTCATAGTTTAAGGTGTCGGCTGAACAGCTATAACCCCATTTATAAAACATCTTTCAAAGGGCAAGGAACTCATCTAACCAACTTTTAGTTAATTAGTATTGTTATAGACTTCAAACAAAAACTTAAAATTCAATTCAAGATGTTTTCGCTTATTCAGATACTTACCATTTTCGATATCTTTCCTATTAAACTTTAGAGAATTTATATCATTTATAAATCAGATAAATACACTATATTCTCTTCACATAAACTAATTATTGAATCAAAGCTACTTCTACATAACTACATTCATATAAGAGTAAAGAGTTAAGCAAGATGAAATTATAGTTAGTATTCGACTAAGAAATCAGTAATTTCATGTAACCAATGTATTGAATTGATCAATTAAGGCTTATTTCGTACATTAACTTATATTTTTCAATTGTATATAACTATCATGGGTTTTCTATTATTTAAAATGAATAAACATTAGTGTGTATTAAAAAAAACACAATGAAACTTTCAGTTGTATTGCAGAGTTTAATCATTGAGGCTTAATGAACAAAGAATAATTTTCAATAATAACTAAATATTGATTAACCATTGAGTAATCACTGACGTTTTGTTTGTCTAGACCTTTTTGTAGATAAAGATGCAACATATTCATCAGTCTAGATAATCTATTCAAACGCTGAAGTGATAATCAATTCTCTCAAAAATATATTTAATAATTGCTGACGCGTCTTAACTAGCTTAAAATTTAGATCGAAGATTTCCTGCCTAACTACTGCCGATCATTTAACATATAACTGACATTTTATATATTTTAATTTTAAAATATTTAAATTATGCGAATTAGTATAAATTAAAAAAGCCCACTAAAATCTAAGAAGCAATAAACTACTGGTTTGTGAGAGTATGAGATTCTTATTATAGGAAATTGTAACCAATAGAGTTAACTAAATCACACACAGAGAGAGAGGACCAAATGCTGATATCATCATTAAGAACTGTGTTACATCAGTAATGAATAAAAGATGAACCAGTGAATTTAAACTCATTGATTTCAATCCAACCTGTTATTCCAGAAAATATAATATTCTAGATTTCTAGTTGTGAATATGTTGTGTTGAATAGTTTTCAATTCACAAGTAAAAGTTATCTATCCGCTGATTATATTTGAAATGAAAGATTAATCTTGAACTATTCTATATCTTTTTTTGTGTCATACAACGAAAAAGTAACATCTAGAAAATTATATGAAGTTTTATTATCAAAAATTATATTTCTATGAAGGTACCGTTCGCGTCAAACACCATCGCGTTATTCATTTAGTTACTGAGTCCTGATAGCCACTTGCTTGTGCAATGGAGTGAAGTTTGAATTCACTTGGTGTTGTTTTACTTGTATCTTCTCATTGTTATCTAGCACTACAATTGATCAGTCTCTTGCTGATATATGTGTATCCTGTGTGGATTACTTCGTTATAGCCTTACGTCAGAAGCTTTTTAAGCAAAGATAGAATCCCGGGGTGAACATCAACTCTGCGATGAAGGTAAATCCAGCTGACAAGTGTCAAACTGGATTCCACTGCTAGCCACTATCCATCATTGTTTACAAAAAGCTTGTGAATTAAAGCAATATCGAGGCTACACACAGTATGGACATATGTCAACAAGAGACTGATCAATTGCAGTCTTAAACGTCAATGGGGAGATACAAGTGAAACAACGCCAAGTGAATTTAGAAATAAACAATGTCTAAACATCTTTTAAAATCTATCATCTTACTTCATAATCCAACTAACTGTACTGCATATGAACTAGGAAAGTTAATATAATTTCATCTATATAATAACTGAATCTATAAATTAATGATACATCTATTGTGTATGTTGTTTAATACATTTCATTCTTTGCAATACATGATACGTTAATTATTTCTATTATACCTTTACAGAAAAATTTAAATTTTTCAATGAGTGTTGCCTTTATAAATAATGGAAGACATCTTATCCTATATTCATATATTGCTATGTAGGTGAATACAGTTACCACCGTTAATGTATTTATTTATTGCCATTAAATAAACACTTGACTAGTGAACATCAATCATATCGGAACGAAGATTTGAGTCCTCAATCTTAGTAGCTAATAATATGTACATTATACTGGAAATTGACTGAAATTAGAATTGTAATACCCTAAATATTAGATCGGTGATTTATAGGAGACTAGTTTGACTAAAGGGCTTAAGGTTCCAAGTTCAAATAATTATGTCCCTATGAGTGGGAGCCTCTTTATAATCCTATAGCAGGTTGAAACAGTCATTCAATACTGCCTAGTTTTTAAAGTCTGTTCTGTTCAAGATAATTTAATATGTAAATTGTGCATAAAATCCCACCCTAATATAACAGTTATATGTATAGAGTTGCGGAGATTGTTGAGTTAACTTATGGAACTCTTTAGTAGTGCCCATCCACCATCCCACACCATAAGTATTCGAATCAAGGACCTTCGACCTCGCATGTGAACGCTTGACCTGTAAACCACTGAGCCGGTATCCGACAGTGTTAATGTCTAACTTCAACCAATCCATGATATTGCGCAATCGTTATGTGTTTCACTTAATAGAGATTCTTGATAACACCAACTAGTCTCTAGATTTATAATGACAGTTATTTGAATAAAGTGAATAGTTTATTTGTCAATAGTTTCATTTTGTGTGAGTAATTCAATAGTACAGTACTCGATATAAGTTTACAATATTGAAATCATCTGGAAATCAAAAAGGAAACAACTGTGTTGATACCTTTCTATTTTTTTTCTCAATATTCCAAGAATCTAAATGTTTCCTTTAACTTAAATGTTTATGTACTCCTACTAGGATGACTTTTCAACTTTACTAATGATAACAATTTATACACATAAAAACTTTATTATTTTGATCTATAACACTAACAAATTGTAGTCTTACATTGTATACGAA